GCGAAGCCTGGGGGCCTGGCGGGATGAGCGCCGTGGGACGGAACCCCACCAACGCCCACGGAGCGGCCCCGCCGGCCAGGGGGCGTTCTGCCGCCCCCCCTCTCCCGAAGTCCTCTGGTCCTGCCCAGCTTGTGCCCTTGCCCCTCCCCATCGGGCCCAGATTCGGTTCCCCAAACAAAGAGAAGGGCATCTCGCTCCGCTCCGAAAGCTGCAGCAGCGTGGCGATATGATGCCAGCTTGGGCCCCACTATAAACACCAAGTGATGAACCACAACATGCACCCCCCGTTCCTTCTCCCGGAGAAGGCCCCCCAAGAGAGTCAAACTACGGCCTCGCATGTCCTTGAGACAGCCTTAAGATCTTACCCCCCAGCCAGGGCCCCGGTAGGGCCCTCAAGAGGCTCCGAAACGCATTCAAGAAACAGTACAAGATTCACCACTCCCTCAGGATTTGTGAACGACCCACCCGCAGCAAGGCCACGGAAGGCACTCCAACACGCCTTCCAACGCGCTCCATTACGCCCCCCCCCAGCCACAAGCATCGAAAACCGTTCAAACAAAGCGCCGGGCTGCTTCATGAACGGCATCTCTAAGAGTTCCCGGGCCCCTCCTGCACGTGCCAAACCGCATGCCCGCGGAGAGGAAAAGGCGATCGCCCCGTTGACAATGGCCTCCTTCTCGCCAGGTTCATCTGGATGCACGCCTGGGACTCGCCAGCCTGCCGTAGCTTCTGGAGAGCCCAGTGGGCCCGCCCAGCTAGCTTCGGGGCGGTCCCAAACGCCAATGAAGGCGACGTCGGCATGACCCAGGCGCCCCAGGTAGAGTACGCGCGCCGTCCCCATGCCCCCCAAGCAAGGGCAGCGATCGAACAACACGAATGTTTCGACGACCTCGTCATGAACCTGGCGCTGCATGCTGGGTGCCAGCACGGCGTCGCCCAAGTCAGGTGGAAAGTCTACGACAACCACCGTAGATGCATCCGCATGAGACCTCTGGGCCGCGCCAGCGGCCACCTCCATGGCAACTCTTGTCTTTCTCCCTGGTCGACGACATCGAACTCCTTGCGCGCGCGTGCGCCGCAAGCAACAGCGCCGGCACGTGCCCCGCTCGCTGAGTTCAACATCCGCCCACGACAGCAACTCCGCGGCCCCCCCGGCCATGGGAACTCCAGACGTCGCTCGACGAGACAGTCCTCTCCGACAGGCAGTCTAGCCCAAAAATCAACGCTGGCGAGAAGGTCGGCTGGCCCGTGGGCGAAAAGCTCCACCGACGGGCGGCCCCCCTTTAGCCCCGCGGGCAGCCGCTGCAAGCTCCCCGCCAGGCGAAGCCCACAGGGAGCTAGCTCAACCAACGTACCACCCGCTGTAGACGACACCAAAATTGACCTCGAGGCCACCGCTGCCGCCAGGCCACGATGGGCTGCCCCCGGATTGCCGCGCGTCGGGCGTCTCTCTGAAGGCACTCAAGCGAGAGCACGTCCTGTCAGGCTCCTCGCGTCCAGCACGTGCACCGCCAGCGCCGCATTCAAGCGCCTGGCCAGAGAGCCAGAAACGTTTGCAACGACGCCGCGCTCGCGGCCTACAGGCCCAAAAGGGCGATACTGGATCTCACAAGTGGGCCCTTTGCGCTCTCGTCGCCCATGGGCGCGCCATCGGGCTGGGTGCCATCTCGCGAGGGGAAGCTTTGCTCAAACTGAGGAGGCCAATGCGGAGAGACACCAGTCTCGACACCAAAGCCAGCGCGCTGCGCGACCGCGCTCAAACCTCCCAAGGCTCAAACGCGGGTGCAGCGCGGCAGACCGTTGCTCAACTCAGATGGAGCTGGCCAACCTACGGCTTGAGTCGCATGACTGGGGCATCTCCCCTGTCATGGAAACATCTGCCAGCTGAATTACTGACGCGCGTGCTCTGTGCTTCGCGGAGGAGGCCCTGTCTCCAGCGCGCCCCGACCGCCCGGCGCGACCGGGGGGCCGTCGCTGCTGTCAAACAGGGTCATGACTACTTCGATGACGCGTTGCGTCTCCGCGCTAAAAACAAGGCCATAGGCGCGGCTTGGCAATTCGGTATCCTCGCCGACTAGTTCTGCGGGGGTGACCGCGCCTGGCGGAGAAAAGTCCAGGCCAGCATCTCGGCTGGCCCACCCTGCCTGCGCAGATGGCGTAACCGGAAAAATACGAATGCCAAAAGCACGCCGACTGGAAATGACGGCGCTGGGAATCCGAGAACTGCTCCAAGAACAATGATCACCGAGCGGGCGCTCAGGCCGACCTCCGGCGCAAGATCTACTGGGTCCCGCGGGCCAGACCAGACACGTTCAACGGCCAGAAAGGAAAGCCACCTGGGCGAGCAAGGCATCGGCGAGGGTCGTGCAGAAACTAGAAAAGACGTGCGAGGTCCACGGCCCCCTCGCACGCACAGTGCCACAGAAGAGACTCTTCAGACGGCTCTGTGCCCTTCGCAGTAAGGCGATTCGCAGGAGTCAAACGATTGAGAGCTTGCTGGATCTTACCAGGTTTAGCATAACGACGCACTGTGCCTCCACGGTTGACCCTGACTCGGGGCTGTATCTCACTCAGGGTACGGCGGTGCTTCAGCAGATCATCTGAGGCACCCCCGTGACGCAACTGGTACAAAGTCGCATCAACTCCGAGCTTGGCTGCAACAGCTTTGAAGAGGCTTGGAACTCTGACGGCGTCCACAGGAAAGAAAGGGCGCCCAGCTGAAGCGCGGCCCACCCAGGGCCCCGGGACGTCGCCCAGCCAGTCTGGGTAGTCGAAGACGACGGTGTCATCGAAGGCCTGGGCCCTGGACGGCAGCAGCCCCCCCTCGGGCGCAGCAATCAGAAGGCGCCGACGACGAGCAGCCTCCTCATATGTACCTGGCTTGACTAGGTCGCCCACCATGGCGCGGAGAACCTCTCCAGGACGGAAGGGGCCCGCGAAGGCGGTCTCAACGCACAAGGAAATGGCCCTCTCGCCGTCGCCGACGAGGGGGGCGCGGATGCCCGACTTGACCTCCATCCGCAACGGCATTCTGCTGACGGGCGGGAGTCGCTGTCGGCATCCCTCGAGGGCTCGCTGGGGCCGAGGGTAATCGCGGATATTGTCTGGCATGGCGCTGTAGAGGAGGCCGCGCGCCGTCTTCTCGGCGCGAGCGAGCTTCGCGCTGCCCCCTAGGAGCTCGTCCGAGTAGTCGAGCAGGTTGGCCCCCAGCTCGTCGCGGTCGTCGGCGGCCCTGCCTCGGCGCTGCCGCCGCGCGCGGAACAAGCCCTCGAAGTGCGCGCGCGCGCGGCCGCGCCCCTGGGGCCGACGGTCGCGAGCTCGCAGGCGCCGAGGTCGCCCGTCGGAGCACGGCGCCCGGGCGTCGGGGGCAGCGGCCGCGCAGCAAGAGAGGGGGGGGCGGCGGGGCGGCGCCTCGGGGCGCCGCGCCCTTGGCCGCGGCCCACAGCTGGCGCCGCCCGCCCCGGCCCGACCCCCACTGGGGTCCCAGCGGCCCCCCAGGATGTCGACGGCGCGGCGGCTGCTCTTTGCCCCCGATGCAGACGCTTCGTAGAGCGCAGGCCTCGCCCCTGTCAGCCGCTCGAACAGACGAGGCGGAACAGCCGCAGGGCTGACCTCACTCGGCACCCATATGAGCGTCACCCAGGAGCCCGTCGCAATCGAGAAGGCCGCCAGGCGCCGGACCAGCTGCGCGTGTCCGAAGGAGGCTGCGCGCCCTCTTCAGAAACAACGGGCGGCGCCGAAGTTGTCAGCAAGGACGAGGCGCCTCTGGCGGAGCTGGCGGGGGTCCCGAGGCTCGAGGCGCATGCCTTTGATGGCCGCCCTCCCCTCCTCGTGGCCGGTAGGTTCCGCGACAATGTACCCCCCCCCCGCCCTCCTGCATTTCCAGAACCGACCCAGGATGGTAGGCCGCGGGATCTCGGGCAACCCCGCGCGAGGCTGCCAGGCTAACCCCGATGGGGGCGCAGCCGAGCATGCTGATGTCCCGGGGGCCCGCGCCCGATGTCACGGCGTCCGCGAGGGGGCCCAGGTCGGCCGCCAGAGCCCGTCTGCGATGGGGCCGATCCGAGGGGGTAGACGTTGGCATCTCCACCTCTCGTTCCACCGATGCATCTCCCCGACCTCGTCGCTGGCGAACTTGGCTCCCATCACTCCCCACCCACTACCAACGGCATCGGTTGGGAGGACTGACGAGGACCACGGGCGCCCGAAGCTGCCCGATAGCAAGGGGGCCAGGCTGGCGCAGACCAGGAGCTCACGGCGCACGGGCGCCCACGGGGGACTAGGAGCGTCGTGGCAGCCCCGAACGAAGACACAGGAGGCCCGCAAGACCGAAAATGCCGGCCGCAAGTCGAGGGCCTCGACGACGCAGCGGCCCAAGGAGCGCTCGAATGTCCCTCCGCAGACACGACCGCCCCGAACGGCATGCCGTAGAGCACCCCGAAGAGTCCGAGCCCGCTTGGGCCTGGGCCGCACCGCGCGCCTCGCCCCGTCGAACGAGGCCTCCAATATGTCCGGGGAGGTGGAGGCCCACGAAATCTCGTTCAGACCGAAGCCCTTCCCCTCGCAGACGCCGATGAGCTCGTGGAGGCGCCTGCCGACCCGATCCTTCGACATCCCGAACGCGGTCAGGTTGTCGCAATATGGCAGAGCAAGCGGATCGCCCGACAGGGGGGGGGAGGGCCAGGCATTCGACATCATGGGATCCTGCTTAAACCCAGCCTCTCTGAGTTACTCGGCGCGCGAGGCCCGGGCAATGTAAAGCGACCGCGTCCAGCCCATCGGTAGCGCGAGCAGACAAGGGAAGACGCCCCCCTCCGAGGGCAACGGCTCGCCACACATCTGAGTTCGCTCCGCGCGAGACCGTGCATGTTCTCAGCCGGGCTCATCTCGGGCTAAGGAAAGCGGCGGAATAGCTGGTTGACCCTGCGACAGTCGAGGGCGAGTCTCTGACGGATCTCTTTCTTTCTGACGACGAACGGCGTGACCCTACCATTGGAAACCTTACTGAACCCAAAGATTCCACACTCGAAGAGGCATCTGAGGAACGCGACTTCGACATCCTTGCCCTCCTGAGTTCGGACGTCGGCGTAGGCCCCCGCGGGCCCGCAACGGGGGCGGTGCTCGGCAACGCCGGCATCGGCCAAACCTGGCTCGAGATCGAGGCGGCGGCCGAGCTCGGGAGAAAAGATATCAGTCACATCGACGGGCGAGACCTGCCCCTTGGGCAACGACACCGCAGTCGGGTCGCACGGCTCAACCGCGCGCGCAAGCGTCTCGCAATCCACGCTGGCGCCAGCCAACTCACAGAAAGAGGCGCGGTCACTTTGTGCATGGGCGGGACGTCCCCAGGCGATAGTGGAGAACAAATGCCGGTGAATCGCGCCGCGCGCGGAGCCGCGGCCGCCCTCGGCATCAACTCCCTCGCGCAGCGGCGGCGCTGAAAGCTCCCGCGGGTCGCGCATGAAGAGCTGGCCCAGGCCGCCGACCGCCTCCGGCGCAGCCGACTGGACAACGAGCCACCGCTCGTGGTGCTGCCGAGCCTTCCTCTCGCCGCCGTTTCCAGGGCGCCGGCTACGAGGGGCGTCGGACAAAGGGGGAAGAGACCGCGACTGCACCGATCTCCTGCTGCCTCTCGCCGTCGACGAGGCCAGGCCTCAGGGCGGCGCGCGGCTGAATTGCTGCCCGAGGAGAGCCCTCGGACATCACGCCTGCATTCGCGTCGAAGACGGGGGCAGCTGCTGGCGTCGCCACCCCCGCCCCCTTCTCCAGATCCTGGCGGAGGCCGCGGGGTCTGCCTCGGCCTTCGCGGTCGCGACGCCGGTAGATAGCCCTGGCCTCCCGATCCTTCCTCTTCTCCCTCAAAATCGCCGCCTCCTTGCTGAGCTCCATCGCCGCGTGGGCCCCCGCAGGGGTGGGGCCGTCTGTGCGCCTCCTGCCCGATCACTGATGCCGAGATAGCGGTCGCCGCCCTCGCAGCTCGGGGCGTCGGGGTTCCCGGCCGCCGCCTCTTCGTGCATCGTGATCCGCCGCAAGAGGAGCTCGACCCCCGCACAGTTCTCGACGTTGAGCCCATCGAGCGTCGCCAGCAGGTGGACTGCGCAATGGGGGATTGAATTTTCGTGGGCCGCCGAGCTGCGTGGCCTCGCGCCGCTGTCGCTGCGCTGCTTGTCAGCTCGTGGAACCGGGCTGGCGATGCCATTCCTGGTCGCCAAGTCGATCCACTCGGCCCTGGCAGACGGCCCGGGCAACGGCGACGGAGGTAGACCCCCTGCCTGACGCGCGCGCGCCGCAATCAGCCCGACGGCCTCAACCAGGGCGCGCTCCGTCGGGACACGCGCCAGGATCCCCGGGTCGTCGCAGAGGAAGTTGCTGCGAGCAAGGGCCCACCGAGCGATGTCCACCCTTCGGAGAGCATCTCGAGACTGGCGACGGCCCCATCAAAGACCACCAGCGCCCAGGACCCCAGTGCCGCGGCCCCCGCGGGCGGCGCGAACTCGGCCCCGACGTCGCGGCCGATGAGGGGCTCGGAAAGGACCCAGGCGCCGCCCGCGGGGGCCAGGCGGGCTCCTCCAGGCGCGGGGGCCGCAGCGGGCACGGGCGTCGCCGCAGCCGCGGCGCCGCCAGGCGCTCGAGCGGCCTCGCCCAGCCTCGGGAGCCCACGATGGGCACGCTCGAGGTTGCAGACCTGGTCCGCCTCGGCGAGCACCTCACTGATCTCGGCGGCCGTCAGCGGGGCGAGGGTGTAGAGCGCTCTGTCAGGGCTGGGAACACCCCGCGGCCGCACGTCGATTGCGGCTGAGAAGCGGACCCCCTCGAGGTCCGCGCTGTTGAGACTCAGCTGCTCCGCGAATTCATCGTAATCGGCGGGCACGAACGCAGACTCCTCATTCTCAATGTGTGCGCTCACCAGCCTAGCGTGATGCTCGGCAGCGCCGTAGTGGACCCAGGCCGCAAGTCCTCGGTCCAGCACAGCGGCAGCGGCTCTTGCCGCCGCCATCACGATCAGAGACCGTTAGCGGGCGCGGTGACCACGACGCCCTTGCCCTTCTGGACCGAACCCGCAGTCGCCTCTTCGCCTGACCTCGTCGGCCCCTGAGACGCGATGGTGAGGGCCGCCCGCGGCGACGAGGGAGCAAGGAAACCCAGCGGATCAGGTCAGGGCAATCGCCGCCAGCACCGAGAGCGCGACCGCGACACCCGCGAGCACCCGGAGGAAGAAAATCCCCCAGAGACTCGCGGAGGGCTCGGCCGCAGGCAGCGGCGCGGGCCCGCAGTGTTCCAGCTGCTTCGCCAGAGCCGCGCCGAGGCTGGGATCACCGCGGCAATACCAGTCGCAGTGGTAGTACTTAGGGCGTTCGCGGACAAACTGGCCGAGCGCTGCCCCAGACGCGGCCGCCCCCCACTGCGAGAGGAGCGGCCACGCCTGCCCGAAGTCCATTCCTGAGCCAAAAAGGACTGCGGAGCAAGATGTATCAGAGAAGACGGCACCGACATACCTGACACACCTCCTCGCGACGCTACCCCCTTAGAGAAATCAGCCACCAGCAAAGCAGTTATAGTCCTTAGGTGTTTGAAGGATTTGGGTATTTGTTCTTTATCTGCCTTCCGACGGCCCACGGCGGCACAAACGGCTCCCAAGATCGCCCCCAGAGCGCCCAAGAGGCCTCCAAGATGGCACCAGGACTGCCCAAGAGGCCCCCGAGACGGCCACAGAGGGCCCCAAAATGGCCCAAGAGGCCTCGAAGACGCCCAAGATGGCCTCCAAGACGGCCCTGGAGCACCCCAAGAGAGCCCCAAGTAGGCCCAGAAGGGCCCCCAAGACGGCTTCCGACGGCGCCAGACTGGCCAGGACCACACCAGGACGGCCGAAGATGGCCCTACGATGGCCCTACGATGGCCAAAGACGGCCTTCAATGGGCCTCCAGGAAGGCCCGTAGAGGCCTACATCATTGATTATCATCGTGTTTGAATGATTTTGGCACTTGTTTCTTCTCGGCCGTCCGACGGCCCGGGACGGCCCAAGAGCCCCCAAAGATCTCCCCAAGATCGCCCAAGAGATCTTCAGGGTGGCCCGAGAACGGCCCAAGAGGCCCCCAAGACGGCCCCAAGATGGCCCCTAAACGGCCCATGATGCCTCCCTCCAAGACGCCCAAGATGGCCTCCAAGACGGCCCTGGAGCACCCCAAGAGAGCCCCAAGTCGGCCCAGAGAGGCCCCCAAGACGGCTTCCGACGGCGTCAGACGGGCCAGGAGCCCACCAAGACGGCCAAAGAGGCCCGAGAAGCCCCCAAAGGCCCCCAGAGTGTCCCCATAGGCTCCCAACATGTCACCTCCTCCCCCTCCTCCTCCTCCTCCTCCTCCTCCTCCTCCTCCTCCTCCTCTTCAACCTCCTCCTCGTCCGCCGCCTCCTGATCTTCCCTGCCATCCATTCCCAAAGGTTCCCCGAAAGGTTTCCACAACGGTCGGGGGAACACATGGTCCGATAGCTTGGCGGAGCTCTTGCCACAACGCTAGGCCGCATTGGCGATTCTAGAAGGCAGGGGGCGGCGGTGATTCGCCGCAGGCGTCTTCGATAATCATTACCCATACGACCACCCTTCGGGTGATAAGGAGGTTGTGGGGGGGATGGGGGGGAACCAACATCTGATTTAATCGATCTCACTATCGATCTCACTCAACGGGACACCACGGGACACTTGTCGATCTCACTATCGATCTCACCGTCGACCTCACTCAACGGGACAACACGGGACACCACGGGACACCACATCGATCTCACTATCGGTCTCCCTATCGATCTTATTCAACGGGACACCACGTGACAGCACGGGACACCACGGGCACCTGTCGATGTCACTATCGATCTCACATTCGATCTCACTTTTTTGGACACCACCTGACACCTCGGGACACCACGGGGCACCACATCGATATCACTATCGATCTCACGATCGATCTCACTCAACGGGACACCACGGGACACCACGGGACACCACGGGACACGGACACCACAGGACACCTGTCGATCTCACTATCGATCGCAACTTCGCCTCACCCGCACGCACGCACGGCACGCACGACACGAACCCGAAACCGAAATCGAATTCCCGGTAGGGGGCTCTCCGTTTCACGTCGGACTCACCCCCCAACCTCCGATTCGGGTGTTTTGACAAATGCCAATCGTCTGCATACGAGGGCTCTCGACCATTTCCCCATGCGTGCAAGGCGAATGCTGAGAATGTCAGCCCAAGAGACCCCGAACAGGCCCCCACGAGGCCCCCATGAAGCGCCCAAAGAGCTCCAAGAAACACCCAAAGGCGCACAAGAGGCCCTTGGGAACAACACGCAACAACTGCCAGTTCCCAAGGGGTCGGCGGTGTGGCGTAAGCCCAGTAATCCAGGGGTTGTGCACGTTCGCGCCGACGAGCCCGATCATCTGCGTGCAAAGGCTGGAAATCATCAAGCATGGATCAATCTCGGATCGTCGATCGCCTGCCTGCTTCACAGCTTTGTTCACCACTCCAGATTTCAGTTGCGAAGGTTCTCGATCACACGCTCCAGATGCATGTGACACCAAAAATCCTTCGGGTAGGTTGATGCTCTCTTTCGGACGGTAACCTTCGCGTCACCCTGCTTGAAGCGCCAACTTGAGTTTGCACAAGAGGCGGACACAAGTTTCGGGCCAACGCGAGGATTGTAGCCACCTCCTGACTGACACAAAACCTTAGACACCCAAAACAACAAGTTTCGCAATCTGGAGAACTCCTTTCCATGTGACTTCTCAAGGCTCATCAGGGCTGTTCGAGGGAGAACAAATCAATTAATGAACGAACATGCAATCTCTCACGCCCAGATGTGCAAGTTCACGAGCATATCCGCAACCAAGCTGTGTCCTGGCTGGTAAGTGCGAGATCCATTTCGCGTTTACATGTGGCTCCTTGCGAAGCAATGGTGCAATGGTTCTCCCCATCGCATCGAGAGTGGCACACGTTGAATTATCTGGTCAAATTGCGTGCAATTGTTGCCCCTGGAGAGCATGATGCGTCAAATTAAGCTCACGTGACTATCGTTTCTAACGCGCCCTCACCGCAGACCCCCCAGGCCACCCTCCGCTCTGAACCCCCTTCTGCCATGGTCGCCCTGCGTACATGTAGATTTTGGTCAGCATGCCCTCCGACAGATTGATTTTTGACGAAAAATTGAAAATAATCCAACAAATAATCAAATATAGCCAAGAATCAACTAAAAGTCGTTCCGGACTATTTTGTAATATTTCTGCATATTCCCCCTGTAGAGGGACAGGCCCGACTGAACTTTAGATGCCTCATCGTCATCTTGCTTTGGGCCAATCAACGCGGGCAACGCGTGGAGTCTCACACGGGACTGTTCCTGAACGCCCAGGCTGCTGAACTCGCGCAGTGTGGTGCGAATGGACTTTTGGCCACCAGACGTACGGAGGTGAGTAAGCTTAACAGGCTGATCATACAGAGGGAGTTTAGGAAGCTCCTGACTGCATCCGTACATGCCCTCTCCAATCTTGCTACCCCGCCAATGCTACAACCATGCCGGTGCACCGCCTTCCTGCGACTGTTGCCGCTTCTTCTGCTGATCCTGCTTTTTCCGCCTCCGCCCCCCCATGTTGTTTGCTTCTTCATTCTGCTTGGAGCGTGTGTCCTCTGATCCCCTCCTCTAGAGGCCTCCTTGATGGGGTTGGAGTAGAAAGTGTCGGAGGATTGCGCCGAATCGGCGATGCACTGGCGACGTCGGCGATGTATCGGCGACGTCGGCATGGAGAAAAGTTGGCCCCACAGCGAGCCGCATCGGCGATTGCGGCGCAGTCTTCCGACCCCAGCCACTCCGACCCCATCCAGGAGGCCTAGAATGTTGTTTGCTTCTTCCTTCTGTCTGGAGCGTATGTCCTCTCCTCCCCATCCCTGCCCCTGCAGCAGGTGTCACCCTGGCCCGGTCCCAGCTCGCCTGACGACGAGCCAAAGGATGGTCTCCCCAACGCCTGGAAGAACCGCTTTTTTCTCCCCAGCGAGGAGGCGAGGAGGAGCGATGGGGGTAAAGGGGGGGCAGGGGCGTGCAAAGGCGGGGGAGGACGAGGAGGAGCCAGTGGAACATGTGCGCGGCACCCCGCCACTGCGGGTCAACGTGAGGGGGCGGCGGCGGGTGGAGACTCGCGGGCCCCAGAGCGCACTCTCAAGTGCGAGCCCCGCCCCACGTTCGGCCCCCTAGGAGTACTGGCCCCATGCGCTGCCGCGGCATTCTGCCCCCAGGTATCGCTCCCAATGTTCAGCCCTCCATCCAGCCACCTGGACGCGCGGAGGGAAAGCAAGACCCGTCGGACCCCCTCACCTTGACTTAGTGTCCAGTTGTGGTTGTGGGAGGACATTGCAACGGCAAGATGTGAGGGTCGCGGGGATCCGCCAGGGCGACACTGTCGTCTGCGGGGGAGCTCAGCTATGCACGGGCCCTGGAGGGGTGGCTCACGGCCACCATCAGCGGTGAAGGAGACTGCCTTCGGCGATCCACGCCAGGGGGGCGGTGGTCGTCCGTCACGAACGCCGCGCTGCCATCGGCGGCGCCAGGGGGGTGGCGAACGGCCACAATCACTGGCGAGTCAGGCCTCTGCAGCGCCGCCTCGTCTCTGGGGTGGCGGCTAACGGCCACGATCGCTAGTGAAGGAGGCTGCGTTCGGCAGTCCACGCCAGGGGGGCGGTGGTCGTCCGCCATGAACTCCGCGCTGCCGTCGGCGGCACCAGGGGGGTGGCTAACGGCCACAAGCACTGGTGAAGACTGTTCCCCGTCGGTTTCCCTGAGTGGGGCTAACGGCCACGTTTACGGGTGCATATGCACCGTCGTCGTGGCCACGGCCAGAGGCATGATCCGATCCGCGATCATCTTCTTGGGGGGGGGTCAGCTAACGGCTGCTGTGGTTGGATCAGATCGGTCGGCCACGAGCGGGTCAGCAGCGCCGCGGACTGCTCCAGCAGGA